GACTATATTTATTTATTTACTGCTATACTACTGTATAATATAGTAAATTTGTTGACGCCTACTGTGTGTAGATTGCAAATGTGAGTGTTACATTAGATGTGAAGTGAAATACAATAGTAGTTTGATTAATTATGTCTTAGTGAATGTATAGATATCTTGACTAGGAATGGCATCCTGCCTGGAAACGTCATCTCTCCTGGGACTGGTATCCTATTTGGAATTAAAAATCTGTGTGGAGCCATTTGATTTTTTTTTTTTTTTTTGATTTGAAGTCTGGAACCGACATCTCGATTGGAACCAACTCTCGACCGGAACTGTATATTCTGATTTGAATTTGCATCCTGATTGGAATTGATATACTGATTAAAACTGGGAACTAGGAGCAGCGCTAGAAGCATTATCAGTAGTGACAGCAGCTCCAGCTCATTCCATATGGATCATTCAAACGTCTCCTTCTGGCCAACATCTGTTCTCTTTTCCATTTCAATATGGTGGATTGCAAATGATTGCTAAGCATCATGGAGTAACGATTCCACTGCAGCCGTAGCGGAATGTATGGATACTTACCGATCCGTCTTGCCTCAAGATTGGGATGACGTACCACGGGGCACCTGTTTTTGCTCTGCGTATTTTATTTTGCGTTAGTTGCAATGTATTGAGTCCAGCTTTAATCATTCGATTCCGGCCTCTGCCTCTGCCTCTGCCTGTGCCTCTTCCTTGGAAGCGACAAGTTATCGATTTGAGCCGTGCGCGTTATGTTAGTAACTCGCACTGCTCGAATCGTTAAAGGGTCGCTTCCAAGTAAGAGGTAGCATCGAGTATTGTATATATTCAAAGGAGGCAGAGGTAGAGGCAGAAGTTGAAATCGTGACGTATATAAGTTGATGATCAATATGGACATTCCAATGTGATCTGCAATCAATGCAACGCTCCTGGGGGTGGAACAGTCTGAAGGACACTAATGTTCATCTGGATATCTAGACTGACGATGATGTTTGATGTCTCAAGAAACTTTCTTTGCGAACGTTTCAATGGCCAAATTCAGAACGAGTTTTGTATAAAAATTAGCAAATATGAAAGAAATCGACTAGGTTTCTTTTTCGCGTTGCTTTACACAAAAATCTTGTCCATTGCCGAATAATAATCCGAGGTATGCAAGCTCTAGACTGGTTATGTTTTCACATGGAATGCCTTACTAGAGAATATCGCCATAAATATATATACCTAGAGCTTAACTTGTAAGAGCTTTTCATTAAAATGTAAAATGAAATGAAAAAACTTGCTCAGACAAAGCGAGCTACAGTCTTTTATTGTGGCTTTTCACAAAGTTACCTTCACCTACACAAATATTTGATGCGCTCTTGTTTGAGTTTAGCTGAAGTTTTCAGGCGCATTAGCCTTACGGCCGGATTAAATTTGGATTCATAGATATTTATGACGCACATTTTATAGGGCTGGTTGCTCAAACAGCCCCCAATAAACAACAAAAACTCTTCCAGTGTGTGTGTGCGTGTGTGTTTTGTATTTGTTGATGTTTACTTACAATTATGAGTGTGTTGTCATCTTCGTCGTCATCTTCAACTCCGGCGTGCACGACTCCGTCATCGTCGTCGTCGTCCTCGTCGTCGTCGTCGTCGTCGTCGTCGTCGTCGTCTTCATTGCCGTCTCAAGGATTCGCACACTTGGCGCTTTTCAAAAACTTTTTGCCAGCCCTTGCCCAAGGGGTTGCGGGGGCTGGAGGGAGGGGTCGGCAGCAGTGCCAAGAAGTATGCAAGCATTGCAATAATAATTACAAATGTTGCACAATAAATTGCAAAGTAAACAGACTCAGGCGACGATGACGTCGACGTCGACGTCTGCTGAGCCAGTGGCAGCAACAGAGGCAGCAGCAGCGGCAGAGGCAAAGACCGAGTGCAGTGGCAAAATTACTTCCTGCTCAAGCGTCAGCGGAAATGTACATACAAATGCCACATACACACACACACACACATACGCATGCAGGGCGAGACGGAGCTGATGTCTGCCTGCCCCAAGCTCTGTTTATTGAGGTTGGGCCAAAGGAGGCGTATGGCAATGGTGGAGGGGGGGCAACGGGGGAACAGTCACTTGTCAAAAACAAAATCAGACAAAAACTCCCCCCGCGGCGGCGACAAGATGCGTAATTGCAACTGCTGCTGATGCTGCCGCTGCTGCTGCTGATGCTGCCGACTGTTTCTGCAAAGGATGTGAATGTGCCGGATGCACAGGATGCGCACAATTCGCTGCATTTGCATTCCATCTATTTGCCTCTCACTCCAAGTCCATTTGGCTGCTCCAGTTCTGCTTGGAGCCGGGCTCTGTGCGTGGAATGCAATAAATCGTGGCCAGAAAACAATGACAAATGTTGTGGCGTCCTGTCCCAAATTTGTGGCTGCCTTGTGGACACTTCATTTGAGATCCGCTAAGACCCCAATTGTTTTCACCTCTGACAGCCGCCTGTCTAAATTAATATTGAGCTGACTAATGCTCTCTGGCAGCGCAAGGAAATTAAGGTGTCAGTGCTCCAAATCCAACCAACGGGGGGATATTTCTCGTATTGAAATGGCAAAGGAAATCGTTATATTTCCATTACTTTCCTTTCTCTTATTGGCGGCGGACTAGTAGAGATAGAGGAGGAGAAAAATAAAGAAAGAGAGGGAACATAAAACGATTTATAAATTATTAAAAATAGAGATGAATAAAGGTAAAAGTAAGTTAATTAAGAAAACGCTATAGTGAGAATAATGATAGGAATGAAAGGCAGGGAATGGGAGATAGAGAGAAGGAACGAGAAAAATAGAGAAAGAGAATCAGAGAAACATAGAGACAGCGATATAGAGAGAAAGGCAGAGAGAGAGAGAGAGAGAGAGAGAGAGCGAAAGAAAGCGAGATAGATTGAGCTACTGAGAAAGAGCGAGAGATGGGGTGTGTGTGTGTGTGGGAGAAAGAAAATGAGAGACAAAAGTGAAACAGTGTGAAAAAGAAAGTGTGAGCGATGTAGACGCTCAGGGAGAAAGGTAAATGATATAAAATGAGACGCACAAAGAGAAATGAATAAAATAGAAAGCGCAAATTATGCCACAGGGCAAAAGAAGACGATAGAATAGAATACCTAGACCTGACATTAAAACGCAAATAAAATTAAAGAACTGTGATTTGCAAAAGGTAAAGATTGTGATTAAATATGGGAGAGGCAGGCAGAGGGTTGACATTAAGTAAAAGTAATGGAAGTTGTTAAAAAAGAGGGGGGAGTACTAAAAAGCGAAGGAGTTACGGACAGAAATGATAATTGAATTTCAGACATGAAAAAACGAAGAGCTCTCCCCCCCTAAGTAATGGCAAATGACAATTTGCGTGTGCGAAACTCAAAGAGGGAGAATTCTTATTGCGCAGCAACTGTCTCAAAGGAATAAAAGTTCTATATATATATATTTAATGGATATATATAAAGGATTCCTATATATGATATATAATGAAATATATAAAGTATTCCTATATATCATCTGTTGTACTTTGTTTTCTAATGCTCTGATTTATTTTGTTTATTTCAGATTCCAAACGCGCTGCAATGTAGATTGTTCTGCCCGGCAACCATTGTAAGCTAGCATCATGGTGGAATCGTCGAGTTTGGGGCGTGCGCCGCCAGCGGCACAGCAGCCCATACCGCAGCAGCACTCGCCGTCGCCGTCGGGAATGCGCTGCGGCAATCTGGAGACGCGCGTGCGTGGCTCCTGGTATCGAGTGATGGTGACGCTGGAAACGGATTTCCTGGCCGTTAGCTTGGATGAGTCGTGCGACTCGACGAATCATGCCAGCGACGGTCAATCCACAACACTCAACGGCACGCTGGGGTATGTATGATCAGAAAGAGAGAGAGAGAGAGAGAGAGAGAGAGAGAGAGAAGGAGAGAGAGAGAGAGGGAGAGAGAGAGTGTGTTACATGTACGTATCTCATCCCTTATAGAAGCAATCACAGCGGCGGAGGAGGCGCCAGTCAGAATGGAACGCTGCCCAGCTCCGCCTCGTTACAGGGCATGGTGGTTCAGGACACGGAGCTGGATGGCTCTGTGGGCACTGGCACCGGCAGCAACGACAACGGCGACCTTTGCCTGAACAACAACAATAATGCGGACGCCGGCGGCCTGGATATGTGCGATGTACCTGACCATGTGGCCAATCAGAAGCGCCATGTGCGCATCATCAAGTCGGACAACAACGGCCTGGGCATATCCATCAAGGGCGGCCGCGAGAATCGCATGCCCATCCTCATCTCAAAGATCTTTCGGGGCATGGCCGCCGACCAGGCCAAGGGCCTCTACGTGGGCGATGCCATACTCACCGTGAACGGCGAGGAGCTGCGCGACGCCACCCACGACGAGGCGGTGCGTGCTCTCAAGCGTGCCGGCCGTGTCGTGGACCTGGAAGGTACGTGCACTCAATCCCCAGTAAATTTTGAAACATGCTTAAACCCGACATTCTTATTTGCCCAAAACATTTGTCCATAGTTGGACGGAAGATAGATACATATACATATAAAAAAAAAAAAAAAAAAAAAAAAAAAATGGAGCGAGTGAGTGCTCTAAAAATTGCCAGTGAGTAGAGCTAACGAACAGGAAGCTCTTATACACTGTGCAACAAAATTTGCGATTCTTAAACTGATATAATAGATCATTTCCACAGAAGTCTATGTGTTGTTATGGAAATTTGTTCATTTGTTTTACTCAGTGTAGTCGTTCCTTAGATTAGTTAGTTCAACATAATTATACACTGTGCAAAAAAGGGGAACACGGCTATACACTGTGCAAAACTTGACTTTAAAAATAGATATATAAAAGTGAAGGAAATTTGGTCAAATTGTAATATGTAAAACATGCTACATTGAGGTAGCTGTACGCTGGATTAGTCGGTACTACATGCCCGTACACTACCCAAAAATGTTGGTATTGTGTATAGAAAACTTAAAATAATTTCAGTTGACTCTTTAAAGCTGTTTCATATGCTATATATTAGCTGGAAACAGTAAATTTGGCTAAAATTCATTTGCAATCAGTATACTCCTTTCACTCAGTGTACAGCATGACTGTACACTGTGAAAAAAAGTTACTGTTGTGTTCAGATAATCTCAAGAGAAGTTCATCTTGCTTAAATCTACTTAAAATGCAATAAATTAGCTGAAATCTCTAAAGCTCTAAAAAGGTAAGTCAATTTTCATTTGTATTCAGTAGTCTAGTTTCGCTCAGTGTAGCCGTAGCACTACATACGTGGGATTAGTCAGTAGAAAATGGAAAGCTACAGCCGGCTGATGCTGTTGCTCTTGTTGATGCTATTGCTATTGCAATTGCTATTGCTGCTGATGCTGTTGCTGCTGCTGCTGCAGCTGTGTACTGTTATAAATCCCCCATCAACTCGAACCCGGCCCGCCCCCTGCCTGTTGACTCTTAGTTGTTGACTGCCGTTAGTTGCGCTGGTCTGTTGGCCTGGCTCGGTCGGTTCGTTGGTTTGTTTGTTTGCCTTGGCTTGGCAATGAGTAATGAGAAAAGTTTTCTTTCCATTTGATCAAAACGGCCCCAAAATACATAGTTGCCATGCCAGTGTGGGCGGCCTGGGCGGCGTGGGCGTGGCAGCAGCAAAACCCTTGTTGCCACTGCCGTGCGAATTAAAATGAATGCTACGCACTATATTTCCATCAGCCGAAGTGCCAAGAGGCACAACGCATAGCCCGGCAAAGCGAGCTGATCAACTGGAAGATACTCCGGAATACACTCCATAATCGGATTCTCTGCTAGAGAGACTGCATTGCGTGCTGCTCAGGAGCATCTATCACCATCACTGCAGAGTGATTCCACTCTCCATTCACTGCCACGGATTATTTGCTCTAGCTGGAAGTATTTGATATTCGACAAAGCGCTCGCTCCCCCGACAACGATTTACTGCCAAGTGTAGGAACTGCAATAAGCATCAATTAGGCAATTGACTGTGCCAGACGTGAGACTCGACTCGACTCGACTCGACACAACTCGACTCGAGTCTAATGGCAAACAGAACGCATAAACAATGCAATGAACCATGGAGGACAATTTAGCTGCGCCAACTTCCATCTGTGTGCAAACACGCACATCGAATGGAGAATTGGAGAATTGACTCTGTTGCAGCAGCCAATTCCAATTGCACTTCCATTTCCACTTCCATTTCTACTTCTACTTCCATTTCCGGCACAGCTGGATAACAAACAAGTGCTTAAAGGCTGCCTGCAAATATTTAATACCATTTCTAGTTCGTATATCAGAGAGTTGGATTTGGTTTGGCTGGATTTAGTGGCGGCGCAAGCGGAGTCGCTCGCTGCGCACACGTTGGCGTCTGAGGGGCTGCTGCTGGGGCTGCTCCACTGCGAGCAGGAGGCGGCCGAACTGGGCACCGGCGGCGTTGATGGGCAGCAGCACGAGGCGGCCGCTGGACAGACCAAGGGTAGCGGCGTTCAGCTCCTGCTCCGCCTCCTCGACCAGCTCCACCTGCGACTCCTCCGTTTCCAGTTCGTTGTCGAGCTCCTCCAGCTCGGGTGCGCCATAGCTTCGAGCGGGTGTGTTGGGTGCTCCGTAGGTGTTGGCGGGTGTGGCGGCCACTTTGAGGGCAATCTCGGTGGTGGACAGCTCCTCCTGCTCCTCGCTCAGCGTCGTCTCGGGCTGGTCCAGGGCAGGCAGATCAGCAACAGGCTGCTGTTCACCAGCAATGCCATCAATGGCAACAGCGGCAAAATCCTGCGCAGCCTCGCGAACGGGTGGCTGAAAGTCTCGAGCGGGTGCCTGGGCCACCACCTCCACGGTATCTTCGGGCTGGTCGGGTGCTCCATAGGTGTTGGCTGGTGTGCGTGCATTCACCTGTACCTCTTGCTCCAAGAGCTCCGTTGTGGTCGCTTGCTCCTCCGTGATGCCAAAGTCTTCCACTTCAGTCTTGGCCGATGGCGCCGTTGTCGTGGCCAGTGGCTCCTCCAGCTTGGGCTGCCTCTCGCTGGGCAGATCGAACGGTATCTTTGGCCGGAAGCCAGCCGCTGGATACGGCGTGCTGGCTAGCTCCACTTGACGCTGGCTCTTCAGCTGGCGGCGCTGCGGCATTGCTGAGCTGGCCGCGGCCAGCAGAAGCATCAGGAATATTCCGGTAAAGCTCTTCATTGCTGCTCGTCGAACGATTGTTAACGGTGTGTGACTGGCTGCTGTGGGTGCACTCGCTTTTATAGTACATAACTGTAGCTCCGGCTGGCCTGCCAGGGGTCGGCAGGGATTCTACATCAGAATTCAGTAACGGTCGCAAGGTCGGCTGCGCTTATATTTCGGCTATGATAACGATAACTCTTGCCCGGGCAATGCAAATGGGACACGAGTCGCAATATTTGCGCATTTAAAAACATATCGAAGCCCATCAAAGCAGCCATCAAGCTCAATGTTAACGACGCTTTAATATGAAACAACCTCCAGCTCCACCCACGCCCTGGGCCCTCTGTGCACGTCTCCACCTCCACCTCCGCCTCCATCTTCGCCCCGACTTCTACGTCCACGTCCGTTTCGATGCCCATGACGGCTTCGTCGTCATCGCCGTCATCGCCAACGTGAGCCGCATGCTAGGCAGCTGACGAGCTGCTCGCACATGTCGCTGATCCATTTCGCCAAAGTTTTGTCGCCCCAAAAATTAAGAGCGAATAAATGTCGAGAAACTAATCAAAAGTCATTTGTCGCATTTGCAATGCTCTACTCCATGGCATTCATATATATGTACGTAAAAATAAAATAATATTACTTTAGGCTTGACTGAATGTCAATAAATATTATCATTTACCTGTGATTGCAGTTAAACACAACCGTGTAGACACTTACTTTAATTATAAAATATTTAATTTTACTTTAGAAATTTATGTTGTATTTATCAACAATATTTA